AGGCCATAAACTGATAAACCTATTTTAATCACTACTGTAACTACTTTTACACAATTTTTTATCTGGCTGCATTTATTAAATTTTATTTATTTTCATATCTCATTGACTGTAGAAGAGCTGTGTACAGTTAAACCTACTGCTTGTATAAAATTGTAAGTAGCTGTGTTAGTCCATGAAAACAAAGAGGAATTTCAGACAGGCGATATATCCAGTTCAGGAACGGTTCCCAAACGGTTTCTGGTCTGACATTTCAAACAGAACCGTTTTAGAACCGGATCCCTACCGGAATATATTTGTACTTTCACACACAAATGCTTCTGTCCTGTTCAGGAAACGGGGCTGAACCGTGTCACCTGTAAACCACTTCCAAGTAGTCTTCAGTTTCTTCTCCCGGATCCGAAACGCTTTTTCCCGCCGTTTTCCGCCCGCACGGGCGATCTCCAGCTTTTGTTAAACAATTTTACTTTAGAGCGTTATAGCGCTATAACACAACAGCAAAACAGCATTATAGCAACCCCATTGGAATGCCTGGAGTGTTGTGTTATAGCGCTATAGCGCTCTAAATTGAACGTTAAAAAAAAAGCTGGAGATCACCCACGTTGGCGAAAAACGGCAGGAAAAAGCAGTGCAGTCTGAAATGGCAAACCGCTTCAGATCCAACTGTTTACCGGTAGGGGAAAGCCATGTGTGAAATGGCAGACCTATACCGGTTTACTCCATGACGGATCAAAAACGGCTTCAAACCGGCTTAAAAAAGGTAATGTGAAATTCCTCCAAAACAAAACAACATTCTAATACCCTTTTAAGATGTTTCAGGACAGAATCGAAAAGCCAAAAGTCTGCAGTGTGTAGCTTCTTGAAATGGAGACCAGGAAGTATTATAGACTGTGGTAAAGCAGACACAAATGGTTTGCAATTAATAAAGAAGTAACTATCTTGTTTGTCCTATGTAAATAGCAAAAGGATATTGTTGAAGGATATCTACTGGCCTTTCCTGGTAAAGTCTGGGAAGAAGGGGGGGGGGATATTTTAAGATGTCTGCTGGAGTGGTTGCAGTTAGAGCGTGTCAGCTGAAGTTGTATAATATGTAAATAACAACACCAAGCTCATTCTTTAAAGGTTGGAATTAGTTGTTGTTGTTTTTTAGCCCCCCGAAGGGGAATTTTTTATTTGCTTTTCTATAAAACTACAACAGAAATTGGGGAGGGAAAGTCTACAATCTATAGTAAAAAGTAAAAAGAACCTAACTAAAAACCCAAGAATGGAGGTTTTACAATGCTTAAAACCAGGGGTCATTTCGTAGAAAAAGAGGTGCAGGAGCTCATTAGCATAACTTATTTGCATACGCCACACCCCCTGACATCACCAAAGTGTGTCAGAAGGCAACACCCACCGCTCAGGCTCCACTAGACTGTTTTGGATTGCTAGCGATTGGGGGGGGATTGTGCAGATCTCTCCTCACAGAGGAGGGAGAGCTTGTACCTGAATAAAACTTGGTCTTAAAGGTGCCACTGGACTGTTTTGGATTGCTAGCTATGGGGGGGGGGACAGGCAGATCTGTCCTCACAGAGGAGGGAGAGCTTGTACCTGAAGGTGGGCCGTTGGGGGGGCGGGGCTCTGCAACTTACGTTGTTACTCTTATACAGTTACTTTCAAACATGAAGAGTGCCCGCCAACCATCACTTCTGCTGGCAAAACCTGCTTATCTGACTGAACAGAGAGTAATTCCAAAGCTATAACACACATAATCACATCCCTTAAGAAAAAATTAGCATCTCCATGCTTTACTCCCCCCCCAGGCAAAATCTTTAAAACCAATTTTCCCTCAGCAAGAACATTACAACTTGTTTTTCTTCTTCCATCTTCGATGTATCTTCTTTCTTCAATTATCTTTTAGTTTTTATAAGTCCGGATCTGTCCATTCGTGATATAAACCAAGTTCCTTTTTTCCTGGGACATCTTCACTTCCTTAAACTTCTTAGATCAAAAGAGTCTCTCCCTTTGCTGCAACAACAACACGCCCCTTGGAGACTCAACCCGTCTCCTAGCAAGTGGATCTTATAAAGTTAGGGTAACGAGCCCTTTACTCCAGAAAACCGCTTTTCGATCAGCTTGCCAGTCCAACCACAAAGAACCAAACCCTAGAGTCTCCTTGCCATTCACACTTCTCTATGATCAACGTAGCTGCTTTTAGTACAGATCCAGATCGCTTCTCACTTTAGCCACCAGAGGGCCCGCGATTCACATTAAAGACAAAGTCTATGGTTAGGTCACAACCTAACTTTCCACCGTCCTCCTTGCTGAAGAAAGTATTGGTCCCGCCTCCGTCTTCGCCTCTCGTCGCCATCTTTTGGGGATGTGTACATCAACCGAGAAAGAATGCCAAAGTCTCTAAGGTCGGTTTAAACGCTCCGCTTTCTTTCAGAAAAACTCTCCGCTACAGTCCATCGCCACAAATTGATCAGTCCCTCCATCCTTGCTTTCATATTTGCTTAAAACGTCGGGAGATAGGGTGTCCCCTCCCCCCCTCCATTTATACGCTTATAGTAGAGGAACTTCACTTCTAGGCTTTAGTGTCTCATTTCAACGGCAACTCACTCATCAATCCTTGACTCGATCCACCAGGTCCTAAGACGGCCCCTGGGATCACGCCAAGCAGAGAAAATCACTAAACCTCCAAATGCTTGTCCCGGTGGTCGCTTCTAATCCAGTACTGGGAATCAGGGCAGGACCTTCAGGGCAGTACCCCCTGTACCGGCTGCCGGCTGGAGGTAGGGCTCTCCAAAGCCCCCTGGCTAGAAGCCCATTGCCTACGGGCTTCATGGGGGAGCGTGCACAATTACGCTCTCTCCTAATCCCCGATTCATGGCACACATCTCTTGGAGGACCCTAGAGACACCGCCATCGTTCAAAGCGCCAAAGCCAGAAGTCCAGGATTAGTTCTTAGCGGAACCTAGAAGAGCTGCATAGAGTCTACTGATATAGAGGATCAAAAATGAATCATTCTTTTCACTGAAAATGTAAAAACTGCTCACATTGTTTACAAATGATTGCATATGTCACACTGGAGGATGATCTGCTATATAAAGCCAAGCTTTATGAATTCTTGTAGTAGTATTGAGTGGCTATGGGAACAAAGTGAACATCTGGATTTGTTGCACATTTGATTTCTGGACTGTATCTCTGTGTAGATGGTCTGTTGTTGATAAGTAACTGTTTTAGATTACAAAGTTGTCTCTAAGTGAAAAAGACCTACTATTTTGTGTGTATGAAGTACTGTCAAGTCACAGCTGACTCACCAACAATGCCCTTTTAATATTTACACAGAACAAACAAGTTGGCCTCTACAAAAGAATAAATGCACACATATCTAGTATCAAAGATGGCAACATTCAGCATTTTACCCCACGAGGATACACTGTTGCTAAACTTAAAGTCACAATTCTTCAACATCAAAGGAAGATTCTAAAATGCAATTGCTGAATTAGAATTCATCAGGAACCTTGAAAACTATCCAGTTAGGACTCAGTTTTGATTATGGGTGTACGTGACACTACAGGTACTAAATCAACTGCTCTAGCAAGTTTATGATATTGTCTATTACAGCCAATATGAATATACAAATGAATGCAAGATAAATGTAGTGGCACTATAGAACAGTCTTCCCATTGTTTTCAATTTCTACATATGCTAATATGTATCATGTCTATATCAGGAGCTGCGGTGGCTCAAGTGGTTAAGATGCTGAACTGCAGGCTGTGGAACGTCAGTAGTTCAGCAGTTCGAGACCCGAGTTGCCGCATGACGGAGTGAGCTCCCGTCTCTAGTTCTAGCTCCTGCCAATCTAGCAGTTCGAAAGCAAGAAATTGCAAGTAGATAAATAGGTACCACTTCGGTGGGAAGGTAACAGCATTCTGTGCGCCTTGGTGTTTAGTCATGCCAGCCACATGACCACGGAAACGTCTTCGGACAGCGCTGGCTCTTTGGCTTTGAAACGGAGATGAGCACCGCAACCCTAGAGTTGGACTCGACTGGCTTTCGAGCAAGGGAAACCTTTACCTATCATGTCTATACATCCAGAGACTGATGCCACAAAAAGACATGACAGCTCTTTCTAAAAACTTGAGAAAAGCCTAAAGTTTTTGGAAGAATCTGAAAACTAAAAACAAATACACTGAGGAAAACTAACAACAAATACATTGTAGAAGCAACATGTGTACCTTAAAAAAAAAGAAAAGAAATCCCAGTGGCCATTGCAGATTGCTAGCCTTCAAGTCTTGGTTTTTGTCAGTAAAAGGGAAAGGCAAGAGCTCTTTCCAGGACTATTTTGTCCTTTTGAGGCTACAGGTGCTGCTTCTGTTATTTGCCAGCCTTCAAGTCTTGGTTTTTGTCAGTAAAAGGGAAAGGCAAGAGCTCTTTCCAGGGCTATTTTGTCCTTTTGAGGCTACAGGTGCTGCTTCTGTTATTTGGAGGGGGTGTTAAACCCCCAATGCATTTTTTTTTAAAGATTTCAGATTTTTCTGCAAACGGAACTTTTATCAGGTTTGTAGAAAGGTTTGTCTTATGTGTTCATGACTCCAAGTTCTGGATTTAAGTAGCCACAAATGTGACCATGTTGAAAATTAGAAGTATTAAGGATAGACACACATACAACTGAGGACACACATGCATCAAATGAGACCTTTGGCTCAAGTCTACAAAATTTAGGCTAGGCCACAATAAATCTGTTAGCATTTACAGTGCCACAAAACACCTGGCTTTTGCTGAAACCTCTCTGATACCTTGATATCCATTGGACTTGAATGGGCATTCCCACCAGAAAGTCAGGAATTCACCTAGATGAAGGAACAGGAAAAACTACAAAACTTAAAAGAAAATTTATTTACAAATACTGCTTTGTAAAAAGTCCCACCATCTTGATGTGTGTACTTTCTCTAACTTCTGTTTATTTATTACATTGTAGCATGCTACTACTAAAGTACGACAAAGACAGAGAATACTGGAAACAAACCGGCCGGTTTATTACAATATTGCTTATGTGATCCTGTTTTAATAAGAAGTTTTTTAAAACAGTTAAAGCAACATATAAAGCCTTTTGGGTCCAGCAGACTTGAACATACAATTTGCTATTCCACGTTGGTTCCTTGAATGTGCAAATGTGAAGTCCTTCAGCCGCTAGAAACCACCTCAATCAATAGACAGGGATTTTCCATTTAGTGATATAACAGTATCTATACCTCTGACAAATAGTCTTCATTGCTGTATATCAAGTTTAGCTGACCATCTGGGTAATTCTTGTTCCGACAAGTCATACATCAATAATATGAGATCTGTTTGTAAAGTCTACTGTTTGAACTCCTGCAAGTTGCAAAACTGCATTAATGGGAGCATGAGCCAACCGATTCTTGTCAAGGTGCATAAAGTGGATTTCATCACCTAAAAGAAATTAAATATTATTAATGAACACTTACAGACAGTTGGATTAATTGTTTTTAATAGAGATTAAGAGTTAAGATTGGCCTAAATAAATAATTAACACAGCAATGTTTCTCAAGCTGTTCATTTAATGACAGCATTTGAGTTGTCATCTCAACTTCCACAATCAAAGGGAACAAACTTAAGCAGGTCTACTCTGAAATAATTCCCATGTTATTTAATGAAGCTTACTCCCAAGAAAGTGTCTTTAGGATCGCAACCAAACTTACTGCTGAGTTGAAAAAGAGAACAAAGGCCCTGTCCACATGAGGGGTTTTGGGCTGGGAGTGGGCCGGATCGGGGCCGGAGCAAACGGGCGCGATCCCACTGCAACATCTGGGCAGCGTTGCGCACCTGTCCCCGATCCGGCCCTTCCCCCGAAGAGACGCATCAAAAATGAACCACCTACCGAGGTGGTTCATCCACGACGGCCGCATCAAGGCCCGTCTTTCTGCCGGCACATCCCCGGCTCCTGCCTGAACTGCGCATGCTCAGACATGCGCAGTTCGGCAGTCTCCCATTTCCCTCCATTGCTTCCCCCGGCATCTGATCTTGCCGGGGAGGGAATGCGCCGCGGCTCAGGGGATCAATGTGATCCCGCCGCGGCGTGTTTCTTTTGGTGCGGCTTTCAAAAGCCGCGCTTCAGCCTGTCCCTCCCCCCCTCCCCCCCGTGTGGCAGGGGCCAAAGAGAGCTCTATCCCATCTCAGGATGCTAACTGCCTAGGAAAAAAAATGTTATGTTCCTATAATAGAGGCTTAATGGGATGGATTTACCAGACAATGTTGTTCACCTCCATGCCATGAAAAGCTTCGGCTGCCCATTTCAACTCATAAAGCCACTGTTAAAGGGACAGGACATTTTTCTCCAGGTCTACTGGCAACCCTAGTCCCATTTTAAGAGTTGAGAAATGCAAAATGACATTTGCAACATAAGATCATATTTCCATATTTTGAGAGTTATAGCCAGGAAAGAAAAGCAAATCATAAACAGAATGTCTTTATTATTATTATTATTATTTTTTTAAAAAAAAGACTTACCTGGACCTAAAATCAAAGTTCCTCCCTGCTGAGCTGGATCTCCTTGGAAATCAAATGCAGGGCTAGCCATTGCTCTCCACATGCTCTTAATGCTTCCTGATAGCAGGCTGGATTTGACATGAGGACTTTGCACTGAAATAGTGTCATACAGAAGATGAAACATACTTGGTTCGAGAATTTACATTTGTTTCATAAGTGTACTTTCAATCCACTTTCAGTGCACTTTTCAACTGGAGTTTTACTGTGTGAACTGGCAAAATCCAGTTGGAAAGTGGATTGAAAGTGGATTGGATTATTTAATGTATGTGACCACAGCCCTAGGCTTCAATCTTGTACAGAGCAAGTAATTCAACTAAAACCACTAGTATTAGCAGCAACTTAGGATCAGACTGTTTGAATATTTGAAGAGCCCATTTGAAGAACCCTGCTGTACATGTGCAAGTAGGGGATGTTTGGGTGGGGGTCCTAATCCGCTGATGGAAAGATAAACTGTGAATATGTTACATATGCAAGTTGCTTCTTGTAAACCCTGGGGTTTGAACTAGTGATTCATGCAATTTATGGAAGCAATTCATAGGTGTAATATTTGCTTGGCTACTGATAGTGTCCCTGATTATACAAGTTCAGAAACTGTGAAAAATCATGGGGGAGGGGAACAATAATTGGGACACTCCTTCTGACCCAAATCTCCCCCCCTTAGGGGCTTGAGCAGGCCAGTTTCTCCATCTTCTTCTATTTTGTTCTTTTTCTTTAACTTATTCTCAGCCACCATCAGCATTCCAGTGGAAATGAGTATGCTCAGTCCTAAACAAGCCATTTTGCGGGTTGTTCTACAAATTAATATTTTTCTGTATACCAAAGAAGACTCCTGTATATATAAAAACCCCAACCTTGTCTGTAGGTGGTCACCCTTCACTGCCTTCATGACAGGGATTCTTTCACCATGAAGTTTGCTACTAAAAGGAACAAAACTTAACCCTATGATTCGGGGGGGGGGGATAAATGGTTTGGAAATACTCCCTCCTTAAACCTTCCCTTCCTGGATTCTATAGGCTGTCATGGGCTTGAACTGGCCCATTTCCCTTCCCTTGTATTCCTCCTTAACTGACTCTCAGCTGCTTTCAATATTAGCCCTGTTCACAAGTTACACTGAACATACACAGAATCCATGCACACTTGATTTGTATACATGCATTCAGTGATACTCACATTACATTCAATACATGTACAGCTGAACATGTGACTGAAACCTCACATTTATCCAAGCACTGATCCCTGGTTTCATTTGTAAAGTGAATGTGCATTAGCTCTTTTTTACAAACAGGTGTACACACATACATGTAGGCTCTATGTTCATTCACTTTAACACATGAACAGGGCTAGTCTGCCATCAGGATTTTTTTTTAATTTACAGAGTCATATTATGCAACCCTACTACTTACTTTACATTCAATATAGTACAAATGGTGTAACTACTCTTACTTGCTTCTTTTTGAGCTGTGGTCTCTAATCTTTACATTTGATAGTATTGCCTACCTGATGTGCTGGATGCTTCCCCTCTTTTCATGCCAAGTATTCTATAAATTTCCCTCTCAGGATCTACAAACATTTCATAGGGGTAACCTGTTAAATTACAAAAAGGCTGCAAGAAATATATAGATATCAGAAGAATACATCAGAAAGTCTTTTATACTTCCTGGAAAACTAAAACTGCACTTCTAGGCCCACTTACAATATCCTGCTGAAGCTGAATTCAATGAGATTTTCTCTTGAGTAAACATAGGGTTGTGTTGCATGACAGTCTTCAGGCCATATTTATTTATTTAAAATATTTATTAGCCACCTTTCACCCTTGCAGAACTCAAGGCAGCTTACAATATAAATAAAACAATGATAAAAACACAAAAAGAACATGAGTAAAACAACAATTATAAAATCACATAAAAGGTCACAATGTAAAAACTCCAATCAGGACTGGGATAAATAAAAACTAAATTGGTCAAATGTAGTCCTAAACAAAACTGTCTTCAACTACCTCTTGAAAACTGACAGTGAGGAGGCCACCTCCTTGGTGATGTTGTTCCATAATTATGGGGCTTCTATCAAAAAGGCCCTCTTGTGTGCTCACCTGACAAACTTCTTTGATTGGTGGAACAGCCAGGAGGGCCTCTGCTGGCAATCTAAATTTCCAGGCAGAAACGTATGGGAGAAGATAGTCCTTCAGATACCCCAGTCCCAAGCCATGTAGCCCTTTAAAGGACAAAACCAACACCTTGAATTGGGCTCAGGTGTGGACTGGTAGCATCGGCTGACCAGCACTGCAGCTGCAGCATTCTGCGGCTTCTGAACACTCTTCCAGGATAGCCCCAACTAGACTGCGTTGCAATAGCCCTGTCTAGATGTAACTAAGGCATGAATCACTGTGACTAGATCTACCTGAACCAGGAATGGGCGCAGCTGACACACCAGCTGAAGCTTGGCAAAAGCACTCCCAGACGCTGCAGCCACCTGGTTTTCTAAGGTGACCACTGTGTCAAGCAGCACTCTCAAGCTGTGAACCTGGCTTTTCAAGGGAAGTATAATCCCAGGAGAAATCTCGAGTGCCAGATCTGCCTTTCTACTAACTCAGGGAACCTCTGCCTTATCAGGATTAAGTTTTAGCTTGTTCACCCGTATCTAGCCTATTACTGACTCCAAGCACTGATTTTGAACATTACTGACATCCTCAGAATTAGGTGGAAAAGAAACGTAGAGCTGGGTGTCATTTGCATATTGATGACACCCAGGGCCAGCTCACCCACTAGGTGAACTAGGCCTCACCCCCGCCTAAGCCCCCCAGCCCCCGCCAAAAGCCTGGCTGCATGATGGCTTCCCTGACCGGGTGAGTGAGCACTGCTGCCGCCTCCTCCTGACTGGCCAGTGGCCCTGCCAAAAGCCCACACACCGCCCAGAAGCCCTGCCTCTTCCTGGCTTCCCAGAGACTGCTGGCGGGCCCGCCTTGCGCCTCCCCTCAGGCAGGCTGAGCCCAGGCGTGTGTAATAGGCTCAGTCGTGGTGTGTACAGCATTACTGGCAATCGCATGTGTGCCCACGCGGCCCAGAAGCCCTGCCTCTTCCTGCCTGCCCCCAGAGACTGCTGGTAAGTTCTTTAGTTTCTCGGGGGGTGGGGGGGGGATGCGAGTGAACATTCTGTTAACTGCTTGTCATCCCTTATACCTGTTATGGGAAGGGAAGGGCTCAGAATGAAGCGACAAAGGAGACCTCTGCTCCCCATCATAAGTTTACTGATTTGTAGGGATGCCAACCTCCACGTGGGACCTGGGCATCCCCTGGAATTACACCTCATCTCCAAACTGCAGAGATCTGTTCCCCTGGAGAAAATGGATGCTTTGAAGAGGGGGCTCGATTGGCATTGTATCCCACTGAGATCCCTGTCTCCCCAGGCTCCATCCACAAATTTCCTGGAATTTCCCAAATTCAGTTGCATGAGCCCAAAACGGGCAGAGGAGCAGGGCAGTGAGTTGCCAACCAAAGGGAATGGTCTCAGCACAGTGAGATCTCAGATGCCAAGTTCTTCATTGTCTTTGCATGGTTTTATTTGTGTGATATTGATAGCAAAGCTAATGCTGGAAATGTTTCCATTCTCCCTGTTTCTCTTTACAATGAGGTAATTTGCAGTTTACAACCAAAAGCTACTGAAGAAGTGGTCGGCACCAAAGGGAAAGGGATGGGACTCAGAGGCAGAGCATCTGCTTTGCATTAAGAAATTCCCAGGTTTAATCCCTGGCATCTCCAGGTAAAAGGATCAGGTGGGGGGTAATGTGGAAGACCCCAGAAAGCCCCTGACAGAATGACAAGTTCTTCATTGTGTTTGCATGGTTTTATTTGTGTGATATTGATAGCGAAGCTAATGCTGGAAATGTTGCTCTAAGGATCCTTCTCACGCTTCCAGTGTCAGTGGCAAGTGGTGAACACAGTTTCTCAAAACTCAAACTTATAAAAACACACAGATACGCTCAACAATGCAGCAAAAGAGACTACTTGGTTTGGCAACTATCTCAACTGAACATGCTGAAGCATCAGCGCTTGACCAGATTGTAGGATATTATTACAAACCATTTGGAGGGGTTCTACCAGGTAAGTACTAAATTTTTTGTAGAATTCGGCCGGGAGGTCATCTCTCCCAGGAGTTTTATTAGATTTGATTTGTTTTATTGCATTTAGTATTTCTGTTGTGGTGATCAATTCGTCCATGATTTTGCTATGGGGAGGTAAAATTTTTTACATGTATTCTTTCGTATCAAGAAATTGTTTAATTGAGTTTAGTGATGGGTTATCTGTTTTATATAAACTTTGGTAATAGTTCCTGAATACTTGAAGGATGGCAGTAGTAGAGGATACTATGGTTCCCTGGCTGTCTTTCAGCTAGTTTATGGTGCGTGTAGTCTGTTGGGATTTTAGTTTCCAAGCTAAGAGTTTTAGGGACTTTGGGTGTCGAAACCAATATCTATGTTTTGTGTATAAAAGTTGTTTTTGAATTTTGTTAGTTTCCAAAGTTTCTAATTTATTCCTTTCAAGAAGGAGTTGTTTATAAAAAATTTTAGAGCCTGAATGTTTATGTTTATCTTCTAAAAGTTTTATTTTGGTGGACAATTCTTCGACTAATTTATTTCTTGTTTTGTTATAGAATGAAGTAAGGGAGATCGCCTTTCCTCTGACGACGGCTTTCATGGCGTCCCAAACTGTTGTTAATGGAACCCCACAATTTATGTTATCATCACTACATACTATTTTGATCCTCTTCCAAGTATGGATGCCATTTGACTGGCATTGCTGGGGGGGGGGGTGTTAGAAGAAAAACAAGGAATGCCAAGAGATAAAGAGGGCTGAATTTAAAATAAACCTTTCAATGAATTGTCACTGATTTCCACTTGTACTTACCTTAATGTGGTGGTGTGATGATTGTCCAACAACTACAAGTCTTACATTTGCATCCTAAACAAAAATACCATGTAAATATAAGTCGCAAAACTGATATCAGTTCTTATAGAATGATCCTAATACTCACCATGCCAGCACTTAGGATGGATTTAACAGCTGGGATATTGAAGTTTCTCCAAATGATACACTCAGAGGTCATTTCGGGGGGATCGCGGGGGATTGCAGTTCCCCCGGGTGAGGTATGGGGGCGGGGCACATGACAAAGCCCCGCCCCTCGCTTCCGGCCCTCATTCAGCCAGGAGGAGGCAGGAGAAGAGGGAGGGTAAGTTGCTTCCTCCCTGCCTCTCCCCACCCCTGCCTGCCTGGGGCCAGGGAGGGCCTTTGCGGGGCTTCCTTGCACTCCCGCCGGCCGGGACCGTTGGGGGCGGGGTGTGTGGCCTTATGACACACTTCCGGTGATGTCAGGGGGTGTGGCATATGCTAATGAGTTATGCTAATGAGTTCCCCTAGCTCTTTTTCTACAAAACGACCCCTGGATGCACTATGTTTGTATTACCACAATAAAGACACAATGGTGTTGAAGGCAAGTATGTTTTTGGATTTTGGAGCCAGTTCTCTAATCCTACTGGTGAAAAGATGTTGTCTATTCTGATTATTGTTAACTATCCCAAATCAATAGCACAGAGAAATGAACTGGGAATGAAGCCAGAGGAGACAATAGTTTAACAGAACTATTAACAATTTGGTACTATCACGATCATGAACATTAAACGAAACGTATTAAAAAAGCTGTAGAAAAACAGCCACTAATACAAAAATCAGCTGGGCTTCTTAAAACTCATAAAATCTCTTCTAATCTTAATGAAGTAAACAAATTCAGAGAGTGTTCAATATCTAATGGTAAAAAAGAAAGCGAAAAAATATTGTGAGGGGAATTCATTCACAGTGTGCATTATACATTTACCACAGACTACTGTAAAACAGTAATCTGGTCCTCCTATATTTTGAAAGGCAGTAAAAATGGTTTTACTTACTTGTAAAAATTCCTTGGGAATTTTCCCCAGATCCTCCACATATTCCTTACAGGCATAACACAAGAAATGCTGAAAAGATCCAAGGGGATATCAGAGCACTCTACTGCAATAGAACTATTATGTTCAAAAATTAATGGGGAAATTAAAGTCACCCGAATCATATTTCACCACTGGAAACTGGAATGAATAGTGCTGGTCTCTGTGGCTAGGGTTTATACTTGTTCCCACAGAATATCTGACAACAACGAATTAAAACTCTCCCCCTTCCTGTGGCTCAAAAGAACCAGATGTTTTGTAGAAACAAACAGGTTATGTTCCCCAGGAAGTGATTTCTGAGTGCAGCCAACATGTTGTTCATTTATTGGGACAAATGAAAATAAATGGAGATCTATCTAATTGAAACAACAGAGGCTGAAGGAATTGTAATTGAAACTGAAAAAAGACAAAAATGAATGATGTACACACACAGGCTCTAAAAAGGCTAGCACAGAGGAAAATACAAGAGAAACTCAATAAAGCCATTGAAAGATGCCATTAAAGATGAATTCTCCAGCCAGACAGTGTAAATTATATGGAGCTAAGCAAATGTATAAGGGAATGAATGACAAGATACAGTTATGATAAAGAACAGGTTTATTTTGCTCCCCTTTTGTTTGCAATGGCACCTCCTTCCCTTCCTCTCATTATCTCATGTGTTATTCCTCTCTCCATATCATTTGTTATTATAATCCTTCCTTGTCATTCAGTGCACTAGCTGAATTCTGCTCTCTTATACTAGTTGTGGTGGAGCTCCAGACCAGTTCTTTCCCACATGCTAGAGTGAGGCCTCATTTTCTTGGGAGTCAATTCACAAGCATTGGAATCAGTCTGGGCAGGGTTCTTCCACACAGCTGCCCTCCCTGTGCATTTTGGCAGTTGTGTCGTCAGCTTTATTTTCTTCCACACATGGCTTAAATAATGAGGATTTTAATATGCTGTCGAAGGCTTTCACGGAGTTTATTAGTTGTAGATTTTCCAGGCTGTATGTCCGTGGTCTTGGCATTGAAGTACCTGATGTTTCACCAGCAGCTGTGACTGGCATCCTCAGAGGTATAACACAGAAAGATGGAGTACTCTCTGTGTCAATGTGAAAAGAAAAAACACAAAATGCTCTACATCTGACAACAGCACTACAGATAAGATTAGAATTTCAATAGCCAATCCATTTGCAAAAGAACCTCTTCAGGAAAGCTCCTCCATCAGCACGTCACAGCCCGGGAAACTCCTACAAGATAATGACTCGGCCCGACTCCACCTTCCTGAGTGCATATAAATTACCTGCCTACCATTTTTCTTTTCACATTGACACAGAGAGTACTCCCATCTTTCTGTTACACTTCTGAGGATGCCAGTCACAGCTGCTGGTGAAACATCAGGTACTACAATGCCAAGACCACGGCCATACAGGCTGGAAAATCTACAACAACTAATGAGGATTTTCATCATCACTGAACATCTGTGGTCTTGTTATTGGTATATCACAGCACCCCTTAATTTTTTTTAAAAGGCCCCCCAAATATTGATATATTGATGTAGTGTTGTAATAATCGTTTAAATGGATTCTCATTTAAAAAAAGAGTAAGTCTCTAGCTTCTTCCCTTATGGAGACATGCCTTTTCCTTTATGTCTCAGGGAGGGAAAAGGCTAGAAACTTACCTTACAAAATGAAAGCTGATAATTCAGAGAACCTGTTTAAACTATCATTACAACACTACATTGATATATCAATACCTTAGGGCTTTTTTCTTTTAAAAACACACCCTCAGAATCACTCACCTTGGGGGAGGGGTTTAACGATGATGACAGTCCAGTCATTGAAAAGTGGGCTAGTGGTGGGTGGCACCAGGGCTATTTTTGGGCAGGAACGCACAGGAACGGAGTTCCGGCTGGCTTCAGAGTTGGCCACGCCCACTACAGCCAAAACCTCTGTGTGCGTGGCTACACAGGGATGGCCTGGAAAGTGAACCCCCCCCGCCACTCCAAGGTGGGTGGGCTGGGGGGGCGCCCTGGAAGGATCAGGGAGGCATTTAAATGTCTTCTCCTGCCTTCCGTGGACTGTCCAAGGGCAGTTTAAACTGCCTTCCCTTCCCTTCCAGGGCTGGCTTACCTGGGTGCCCCGCAGCTACAGGGAATCTGGGCAAGCCAAGAGAAGGCATGAGATGCTAATGAGCTATGCTGTCAGGGGTGTGGCCTAATTTGCTAATGATTTTTTGCTGTTGGGTGTGGCCTATTATGCTAATGAGTTCCTGCTGGGCTTTTTCTACAAAAAAAGCCCTGGGTGGCACAAAGAAAATCAGTAGAAATTGTACACACAAAGGCCAACTTGAAATCAGCTTCCAGAAAAAGACTGGGGTAAAAATGGTCTTAAAACAAAACCCTGGAATACCCCCCCCCCCCGAGAAGGGGGAACCAAGCCAAAAACTAAACTCAAAGCAATGCATGCAAAAATCAGGAGACACAGAAGCACTATGGGACCACAATCGACTAAAAAATCCCATGCAGAAAAGCCTCCAGTCTCTTGAATCAGTTTCCTGCCTTCAGCCAGCAGATTCACATGCTTTCATTACCAACACTCCAGTGTCATTAACCCATTTCATTCCCTTACAGAGGGGTTTAGTTATCTATTTTAGCACAGCCATGACTTTCTTCCTAGACACATGCAGGCTGAACCTATGCGTGTTTGTACAAATGCAAGACTCTTGAGAGTCCCTTGGACTGCAAGGAGATCGAATCAGTCAATCCTAAAAGAAATCAACCCTGGAAGGCCAGATACTGAAGCTGAAGCTCAAATACTTTGGCCACCAAATCAGAAGGGCCCACTCACTGGAGAAGACCCTGATGCTGGGAAAGATTGAAGGTAAAAGAAGAAGGGGACAGAAAAGGATGAGATGGTTAGACAGTGTTGTCGATGCAACAAACATGAAATTGAGCAAACTCTGGAGGACAGCAGAAGACAGGTGGGCCTAGTGTGATGTGGTCCATGGGGTCGCAAAGAGTCGGACTTGACTGTGCGACTGAACAACAACGCCCCATTGATCTCCATGTGACTTACTTCTAAGTATAACCCTCCAGCCCCAAAGTCACATTTAAAAAAATAAATAAACCAAGTAAGAAGAGGAGGAAGTGTGCAAGCTGTTGAGTTCTCCAGAATTCCTCATCAGGTTGGGTGTTAAAAAGCAGTTGTGTGTGTTTGTTTCACGCCAGGATGTTAAAGTCTTAATCAGTTAGGGGAAACCTGCAGATTTAGGATGCACTAGAGTGCTGGGGCGAAAACGCCTTCTCTCTCTCTCTCTCCCCCTCCCTTAAAAAGTCCAGTGCAACAAAGAGTTCTGGAGAATTCAAAAGCTCACACACGATTTGTGCCATTTTGGTTGTTCTTATGACCTGGCTTTTTGGGAGGGGCATTTTCTTCCGACTTGGCTTCCCTACTTCTAATTTAATAAGTGTGCCTAACTCTAGTGCAGGCAGCTCCTACAGATACTTATTCACAAGCAAATCCCACCGAATTCAGAGGGGTTTACAAGAGGTCACTGGATAGAACCGTTTCCTCCACGCCATTTCAAGGCCTCTGTTCCTAGGATTTCAGATCTCTAATCGCCATTTGAGATTTCCTTCGGACTAGGGCTCTCAGTTGCTTAAGGCTTCTTGAAGCCGCTCTAACGTCGATCCCAAACACTTCCTGGAATTCCCCCTCCCTTCCACCCGGCCAAGTCTCCTGGATTTCAGTTCTGCAAAGGCAGTTTGGGAGGCCCTAGCCCAGCTGGGCGCGGTATAGTTGCGTCTCTCACCCGCACGAACACCACGATGGTCTTTTGCTGCTCGTAAAGGGCCCCGAAAGGAATCCGCTTCCCTGCCGCGTCCACCACCAGACGCGAGGAGGCGGACCGGAGCTCCACCGGCTCATCTCCTGTGTTCTGCCAGAGACTTTGCCGGCTGATTTGCCGTGTAACGGGTGGCGTCTCCTCTGAGGGATCTGCCATGCTGGGGGATCGTATTCCTGCCGGGAGGTCTGCCTAGGCTACCGGGGCCTGGGAAGGGAGGAGAAGAAGGTGGGGCAGAGGGGAGACGTTGACTTCGAAGGAGGTGCTCGTCATGCCGAAGCAGTTGGGAGGGGATCTTGTCTTTCGCCGTGGCCGGCCGAAATCCTCCGCCAATAGCAGCAGGAGCGGAGATGGAGCGGTGAAGGAACAAGAGCCAGTTCTTTGGGGGCCGCCTGCATTTAGGAGCACGTGGGAGAGTCCAGGCTTACAGTTTCACTCCTTACCGACATCAGTGCTCTGCTGCCCGCAGCCCACAGTTCAGGTGTTGAAGCCGTGTTTAGTGCTAGGGTCAGGAAGTGCCCTACACTTTTATTTGGTAAACAAAATTTGCGAAGCCGTTGGTGTTAACTTTGTGCCCCAGTAGTAACAAGTGAAATGAAAGGTGGGGGGAGCGTGGTTTAAATGCTACAGTCAAAACCGATTCATACTTGTTCAAGTATTATTAACTTCTATTTTTAAAATATTACCAAGAACAGTCACAACCAAGATCCAGAAATCTAAGAACAGTTTCCAGCACTGATTTTAATAAATGGGCATTTTCTGTCTGCCATCTCAAAGAAATGCAAACTCTGTTATCCTTGACATTTTTACTAGCTGACCTACTCTTCGGATCCATTTTTAACTCTCATATTTTGCCAATTTCTTGCTATTAATGCCTTGGTAGCCATAAACAGATCAGCTATTATATTTCTATTTACCATAGGAATGTGGTCATCAAATGAACCAACTAAGAGAACTTGAGGAGTATTTGAGATTTTACAACCATTCATACATTCCCTTTCAACTATAACTTTTATGCAATGTTCCTTAACAGTGGGACAAGACCACCACACATGATCATAGTAGGGAGAAATGGCTCTAACTACTGTGGTGTCCTCCACTATATTTTTTGATTTATGCAAAATAAAGGTCCCTAACAGAAGATATTTTATGAAAGTTCTCAATCATATTAATAATAACAGCTTCTAAGGTAGAAGGTTTTCACACACTCTCACCCTATTTCTGTTCATGCTATAGTCCCTGTCAAATATGAGCTTTGTCCTGGCAGGTCCCATGATTCCAAGCATAGCCTTTTTTGGTGATCAAAGGAGACAACCCTTCCTTTTTCACCAGCAGTAAACTTTGTTGAATCCAACCCCATGTCTTCATAGTCCATGCAGTACTCTAGCCACTGTACTGCTGACCACTAGTAAACTCCATGGCTAGGTCCAGGTTCAAATGATGCTCAAAGTTAACATTAGCTGTGATATACTGGGTATAAATCCTTACTATCAATAATAAGAATGATAGAGTATTTCTCTAACCAATGCTATGCACATAACACCACTAATAGTTCTGACACATTCCTTTTCTAGGGCCCATCTCCTTACGGTGCAAGTACCTGTGCAAGGTGGAAAATGGGACCATATAGATACTGAAAATAGTGACTGAAATTAACATACTACTTTCATTTTTTTGTTTACAATTTTATATCCTGTAAATGTTGTTTTAAAATAAGTAGGGTGGATCACAGCTACTAAAATCAGTAAAATATTATTTATAACCCCCCCAGAAATCAATTATGATTGCAGTAATAGCAGTTGAAAGCAGTGAAGGCCAAGGGATTAGCTAAGTCTTAGCAGAATTGTTCATCAGGCAAATAACAGCATCCTACTGTGAAATCCTAAAGAAGAGTTAAATCAGGGGTGTCAAACATAAGGCCCAGGTGCCAGAACTGGTCCCTTCAGAGCTCTTACCTGGATTTCAAACAACCATTGTGAGGGAGGGAACAGAAAGCTGCCGGGGGTGGGGGGTGGGCAGAGCCACTCCAATTGTGGTTTCCGTACGGCGAAGCAACCTCGTCATCAGCAGTCAAGGAGAACCCCTTACTTCAGTGGCAGCCTCACTGGTAAGTTGGGAGCTACCACAGCCTCATTCATGCCACCTCAGGGTTCCAAAGAGGTTGTATGCCTCTCAGCTTGGTCTGCAGCTCTGGGGATGCTGTCCTGGATGGCCACGGATATTGGTGTTTTGCATGTTGGGGGGAGCAGACGATCCTCTGCTGGTGGCCAGCGCTGCCACCAGATATTTGCACACAACCCATCAGGCGGTTGTCTTTGGCCCATGGGGAGCATGCTTTGAAAATTTCTTCCACACATCAGGAGCCTAGTCTTGCCACTGAGCATGAAACTTGGTGGCCGGGTCTCCCTCCCCCATGGACCACCACCATGGTCTTCAGCCATGGGCAGCTGCTGCCTTGTGGGTGGTGCTGGTGATGTCCAGTTATATTGGTCGCTGGATGGCCTAGGGTTGCTGTCACACATATGGCCTTGTGTGCGTGCTGTCCATTCCCCCATCATATGATCTGGCAGCCTTTGGCCTGGGGTGGCTGCCACTGCATGGGGGTGACATGGCTTGCTGACAATCTCTGGCTGGAACCCGCAGCATCACCCTGCCATGGATCAGCTGGCAGCCTTGGCCAGAGGTGGCTGCTGCTGCTGCATGGGCATCTCTGGCTTATTGGGCTTTGCATGGTCTGCTGTGCACATGGCCTTGGACCTCGGCTGCTGCTCCACAGGCAGGGGGTTAGTTCAACTGTTTTCTTTCCAGTCCCCTTTCATGGTGGCTCGGGGGCAGGGGGGAGCTTGCAATACTCAGCCGCTTCATATTTTTACCCTGAGGCCCAGGCTCACAGCATTGGCAGTTAGGGCTGCCAAATGCCCCAGGGGGGCGGAATTCCCTCCACTTTCGAGCCCCGATTTCCGCTCCTGCGGAATCGGGGCCCGGGGGAAACCCCACCTCCGTGTGTGCTTCACCCGGAAGTGATGTTGCACGCTGGGGGCGGGGCCACGCCATTTGAGGGGAAAACAAAGAGTGCAACATCACTTCCAGGTGACGCGCACGCGGCGCGCGCCTAAGACGCCGGCCGGGAGCCCCCTGCTCCTGGCCAAAAAACATTTGGCAACCCTATTGGCAGTGCAAGCAGGCCGGGGAAGGGGTTTGCCCCGCTGTCCAGGCAACATGGGAGTGTCAGCCTAGTGCTGCATCACTGCCTCTCCAGTCTGCCCATGCAGGTTTTCCTCTGCTCCCCCCGCCCACACCCATGGGGCCTTGCAGTGAGGACACACCAACTTGGAGCTTACCAGCTGTCCTTTATAAGGTTTCTATCTCCATTATGTTTTATGGCACACATGGCCCGGTCCAACAAATTCACATTTATGTCAGATCCCGCCCTCCTTAACAAATGAGTTTGACACCTCTCAGTTACACCCTTCTGAATCAATTGAAGTCCCTCTTTAAAACTGCACTGTTAATCTGGCACTTAAGGGGTCATATCAATGCCGTACCAGTGTCTCTGGAGAGGGCAAAGATGGTCCCACCACAGAAAAAGTTATACTTCTAGTCATCACCTGCCTAATATCTTAAGACAGGGAAACCTAGAACAGGGTGTTGTGGACATTTAATGGGAGCTTATTCTTTTGTAGTTTTTAATTTGCCCTGAATAGCATTTTGCTAAAATTTCTCACAAATTTCTCACTAAATTTCTTGGACAAATTATTAAGGGCTGTGGTCTAGAGTACTGCATATAGTTTCCCCTAAGATGGATCCTACTGTGTAATCTTGCATCATTTAATGTGTCATGTTAACTCTTATGCTTTGCTTCAGTTCTGTTTTTTAGATTTTTAGATTTTTGGTTGGTTCTACAACCCAAATCCTATTTCATTGCTTATAGAATGTCCCCTCCTGTTGCTTATATTGACTCTGTGTAATTCGCTTTGAGCTCCAATGAGAAAAGCCACTGTGTGACAGAGTGTTGGACTGGATGGGGCATTGGCCTGATCCAACATTGGCTTCTCCTATGTTCTTATGTTCTCTTATGTTCTTAAATAATGTAAATAAATAAAATAAACATCTGGAGTCTAAAAATAAGGGCAGCTGACAGGTCTGCAGCATAATGTAGCTCAGGAACATGTAGGCAAACCTCTTGTATGTTTCGTGGAATAAAGCTAGCAGCAAGTAATTTCTTCATAAATGGTTTTAAAAAGGTATTGTTCTCTTTCCACTGGTGTATTTGGTCATGGAAATGTTAACATATCCAACAATAATCACTGCCTATGCCAAGGGCTGCTTCAAGCAGTAAGAGCAGGGCTTTTTTTTTTAGAAAAAGCCCAGCAGGAACTCATTAGCATAATAGGCCACACGCAACAGTAGAAACTCATTAGCATATTAGGCCACACCCCGACAGCACATCTAATTAGCATATTAGGCCACATCCCCGTGCCTTCCCTTGGCTTGCCCAGGCACCTGTGGCTGCGGGGAGCCCGTTCAAGCCGGCCCTTGGAGGGGAGGCAGTTTACCCCCAGTCATATGGATCATGTTCCCTCTAAGCTGAGTTAGTGTGAGCTAGCTCACAGTTTTTTAGCCTCTGGCTCACACATTTTTGTCTTAGCTTAGGAAGGATGGATCCAGAGCAAACTAATTTATGTGGCAGCCAAATCTCCTGCTCACAACTTTAATGCCAGTAGCTCACAAAGTAGAATTTTTGCTCACAGGGCTTCATAGCTTAGAGGGAACATTGCTTCCATCATATGTTATATTCTACAGATGATTATCACAATTCTTCCTACAAATATGTACCTTCTAGGCAAGAAATTCATGCTGTTTGAAGTGACTTTAAATGCTACAATTTTAGCCTAATGTTTTATATTTTGATCCATGTAGTATTTATATAATCAATATATCTAATTCTTAATGTGGCCAAATTTGTGGATACTTAAATCCAGAGGCTGGAGCTGTAAACAGACAAGACAGATCTTTCTACAAAAATAAAAGTCCTAGGTTTGCAGAAAAGCCCGAAATCTAAAAAGAAAAAAACCCCACAAGGTGGTTGACACCCCCTGAAATAATAGAAGCAATGCCTGTAGCTTTAAGAAACAAATACCTTCTGTGGCTGTTGCTAGGCAACTATAACAGTATTGCTACCTTGCTTTCTAAAAGCAAGGTAA